AGACTAGCTTTAAAAATATTGATCAAAAAATCAGATAAAGTATTAACTAAATAATCAAATCACATGTCAACCAAATAATCAAATAATATTTCCTGAATAATTGTATTAATTTCTATTATTTAATTCATGACATCGAAACTATTTGATTTAGATGGCTTAGGAAAGTTTATATTATGTTAGTCAAAATTCTGTCTCAACAAAATTTAATAAAAACCTCCGAAGAATAAAAATTTTAATAAACTACTTAATTTTTTATTTTTGAAGAATCAATCAGCTCAAACTTTTTATTTTGCTTGCTATTTAAAATTGCTTAAATGTGTCGTGAAAATTATGATATCATTCCACTCACGTTATTAAATTAAATAATAGAAATTTTAATCTTTAAACATACTTTTGCACAAAATATTTTTTAAATACAAAAAGATTTTAAGTCACGCAATTACTTTCACGAGATAATTAATTTCTGCTGAAAATAATTTAGGTTATGGAATCAAACATAAATATACACTGAATAAACGATACGATTTTTTACGATTAATTTTGAATCATGTCTCTTAAATTATGGTGACAGCAGCTATCTTTAAAATATGGCCCCTATCACAAATGAGAAATTTTGAATCATTTAATGTTTATTTCGATTTTTGCTATTTTAGCTTATCTCTGCAAATATTTAATCGAATCAAACAAATTTTGGTTCATAAGTATGGAACTCGTTTATTCTAAAATAATTAATTGGAAAATTTTAATTTTTCATTATATTTAATTTAATAATGGTCTGAAAATTATAAATACTACAATGCAAAATTTGAATGAAATCGTCTAAATAGTTTTTCTGATTCTGTTCAAATTTAAATCTGCCATTTAACATTGTATTAATAAAAATGATGATACGCGACGTTTGAAACTGACCCGACAGTCTAGAATTAAAAATAAATAAAGCATTTTTTTCTTGGATACATTTGTTGTTGGTCATTTCACGGCGCCCTGCAGCTACACAATGGGCTATTGGCGACGGTCTGTGAAACATTCCCGACGATGATCCGAAGACATGCCATCACAATTTTGATCCTATGCAGAGGGGATGGCACCCCTTCTTCGGTAGAATAACGACCAGCACGCGAAGTCGAGCACTTTACGGTCGAACAGTTTAACGAGGACCGATACCGCACATCCACGCTCCCTACGCGGACTTATCCAAGTGGTCACCCACCCACACACTGACAGCAGTCGGTGATGCTCGACTTCGGTGATCAGCTGGGAACCGTGTCTTAACAATCAGTGCACTGCAAAACTTTTTTTTTCTTTTTTTGGATACAGAACAAACTAGTTTCCTGAGCAGCGATGGCTCAAGGGATAAAGCGTTTGCCTTCCAAGGAGGTGAAGCGGGTTCAAATCCCAGCGATAGCTGGTCGATACGAATTCCGCATTCGGCTTGCACCGACCACAGTGCTGACGTGAAATATCCTCAGTGGTAGACGGATCATGGTTAGAGTCCCCTTGCCATCAGGCTAAACGTGGGATGTTTTATTGGTTTTCTCTCAATATAACGCTAATGTGGGTTAGTTCCATCAAAAATCTTCCACGAAGGTAAAATTTCTCCCAATACTTGATCCAGGGGTTCCCTTGTCTTCTGGATTTGATTCAAAACTGCAAGAATTCGTAGTTGATCATTACTAGTCTAAAACCCAGAAAATTAGGCAGTCTGCTAAGCGGCGAATAAAAATAAAAAAAATTCAAAACTAGTTTCCTGTTTCTTATTTTATTAATAATAATTAAATTAAGATACAACTATTTTCTTTGAAAATTTTTACCATTAAATTTTAAATTAAACTATGCTGAATAGAAAGCAAGTGCTTTAAAATGAAATAGAAACTATTTAGCTTATTAAAGAACGTTAAAAGCCTCACAAATTACGCAAAAAAAGTTACTAAAAGAAATCGATAACGTTTCGTTACAATTCCGAAAAACTGAGGACATTTCATTCTTTCAAGGGGCCCTAATTCGAGTGCCCCCTGAGCTCCAAACTTCCAGTCTGGTCCTGGATAGGTAAATCACTCCCCACCAAATGTTTAGAAGTCTTTAAAAGACTCTTTTAATATTTTAGACAATTCATAAAATTGTTAATGAATCATCATCAATTTAAATCCATCAATATTAAGAACACGGACCAAAATAAAATAATTAATAATTTTGAGCAGATTTAGCAGAGATAAGAAAATTTTTCTTATATCATATATGTGAAATTTAGATAAGTATTGTAACAGTATATCAAGTATCAAGTTTTTCCTTTTTTAAAATTAGACCCCTGCGATGACCATTGATATCTCGTTACAGTGAAACTTCGTTAACGTGAACACGCTTAGTGTGAATTTCTTTAAACGGAAACAAATTTTCGATTCCCCGTCAAATTGAACAGGAATATAACACTTTTATATACTATACAATAGGAATATAATAAGTTTTTTTAAAGCGAAATATTTTGTAAGATGAACTCGAATTTTATTACCCTTGTAAAAAATAATTTGACTTTCTACATGAACAAAAATTTTTATCCCCCTTAGACAGATAAAAAACATGCATCATTCATAGTTCTATATCTATAAAAGAACATCTTTTGAATGTTTTGTTATAGTGTTGGTAATTGCAGCATTACAGCAATCAAATGAAAGAGTAGTATGAATTGAATCTGTTGGGGGGGGGGGCATAAGAGGAAATAACACACACCCTTTTATACACTATATGAATCGAGTTTTCTTAAACCTCACTAGGGGGGCCTCATGGGTGTGAATGCAAAGAGGCATGTTCTTTTGAGAAATGACAACCCATATTGATCCTTTCTTCAATTCTAGTCATTTCTCTAAACTCATGGGTAATTCCGAGAAATTGATATAGCTACGTTCGTTGTATTTTTGCTGCTTAAAACGGGCTATGGAGTGCGAATTTTTTTTTTCTTTAGAGGGGAGGCACAAGTTTTTTTTAAGGATATATGTATGTTAGGGGGTCCGGAAAGTAATGTCGTTTCGACGCATTAAATATTCGTTAGTCTTAAAAACCTACTTATTAATTTCGATCCCTTTTCCATCAAGCCTTGAAAGGTTGTTTCTAACTAGGGTGAATACATTATTGATTAAAAATAAAATCCATGCACCGAAACGATATTACTTTTCAGTCTTCCAAATATATATATATATATATNAAAATTAGATAATATTTTACTACTTGAATGGTAAAAGTTTATTACTTTTGTCCCCTTTAATGAACGACCCAATATTTAACATCGTGGATAATCTTAAAATTCTATTAATTAATTGTAATAACGGGAAATGATTATATTTCAAAAAGTTCTTAGCTTATTTTTTAATTTATCCTAATTAAAATCAATGATGATTTTTTTCTTTTATTTATCTGAAATATTAAGAGAAGATATTTTAATTGAAAAAAGAAATCAAGTTGAAAAAAGAAATTGATCGCTGTCACAGTCTTAAGGTAATTTTAAATAAATAATTTTTAATGCGTTTTTAATCAACTTAGTAATTGCAATTAAAAATTAGATAATATTTTACTACTTGAATGGTAAAAGTTTATTACTTTTGTCCCCTTTAATGAACGACCCAATATTTAACATCGTGGATAATCTTAAAATTCTATTAATTAATTGTAATAACGGGAAATGATTATATTTCAAAAAGTTCTTAGCTTATTTTTTAATTTATCCTAATTAAAATCAATGATGATTTTTTTCTTTTATTTATCTGAAATATTAAGAGAAGATATTTTAATTGAAAAAAGAAATCAAGTTGAAAAAAGAAATTGATCGCTGTCACAGTCTTAAGGTAATTTTAAATAAATAATTTTTAATGCGTTTTTAATCAACTTAGTAATTGCAATTAAAAATTAGATAATATTTTACTACTTGAATGGTAAAAGTTTATTACTTTTGTCCCCTTTAATGAACGACCCAATATTTAACATCGTGGATAATCTTAAAATTCTATTAATTAATTGTAATAACGGGAAATGATTATATTTCAAAAAGTTCTTAGCTTATTTTTTAATTTATCCTAATTAAAATCAATGATGATTTTTTTCTTTTATTTATCTGAAATATTAAGAGAAGATATTTTAATTGAAAAAAGAAATCAAGTTGAAAAAAGAAATTGATCGCTGTCACAGTCTTAAGGTAATTTTAAATAAATAATTTTTAATGCGTTTTTAATCAACTTAGTAATTGCAATTAAAAATTAGATAATATTTTACTACTTGAATGGTAAAAGTTTATTACTTTTGTCCCCTTTAATGAACGACCCAATATTTAACATCGTGGATAATCTTAAAATTCTATTAATTAATTGTAATAACGGGAAATGATTATATTTCAAAAAGTTCTTAGCTTATTTTTTAATTTATCCTAATTAAAATCAATGATGATTTTTTTCTTTTATTTATCTGAAATATTAAGAGAAGATATTTTAATTGAAAAAAGAAATCAAGTTGAAAAAAGAAATTGATCGCTGTCACAGTCTTAAGGTAATTTTAAATAAATAATTTTTAATGCGTTTTTAATCAACTTAGTAATTGCAATTAAAAATTAGATAATATTTTACTACTTGAATGGTAAAAGTTTATTACTTTTGTCCCCTTTAATGAACGACCCAATATTTAACATCGTGGATAATCTTAAAATTCTATTAATTAATTGTAATAACTGGAAATGATTATATTTCAAAAAGTTCTTAGCTTATTTTTTAATTTATCCTAATTAAAATCAATGATGATTTTTTTCTTTTATTTATCTGAAATATTAAGAGGAGATATTTTAATATTTCTAAATTTTGAGGAAGAAAGTTCCTCATCGATTATTTTTTAAACTAAAGCTTTTAGTTTCTCTTGACCAAGGTCAAGTCAAACATCGCGGGAAAAATTTTAATAGCCAGTTAGCAATGGGATCTGCGCATGCGTGCTGACAGGAGGAGGCTTTTTATTTTTCTAACTCGTTTATTTTCTTCCCTCCCTCGTTTCTGCGATCCTGTAGTGTGCGTCATCAGTCAAGTCAGTTTTGTGATAAGGAGAAAGTGGAATTTATCATTCGAATTTGTGTGTGTGCTTCTACGCCATTAGTTTTGTTGTTATGTCGTACTAGCAAAAAACATCGTGGGTAAGTTGGCAAATTATTGTTCATTTTTACTATAATTAATAAGTTTGATTATTTTTAACTTCTACATTTATTGACTGAGATGTAGATGTACTTCGAATGAATATGAAAGGTAGTTTTAATTCTATGTGAATTTAAAGGTGGATGATAGGGCAAAATGTCTATCGGTCTCTACCTTTTTTTTTTGAAATATATATTTGCAATAGTTACTAGTAGTTTCATTACGATTAATTTGAGAAATATTTATATGCTGCAACCAGGGTTGGTGTGATTTAAATCACTTGATTTTTTTTAAAATCAAGATTGATTTAAAAGATTGAGATTGATTTTGATGATTTTTTTAAATCAACTGATTTTTTAAAAAAAAAATAGTTAAAACCATTAAATGTACTTTTTTTTAAAATTTTTAGGAGTTATATACTTTTTATTATTTTTAAATATATTAGGTTGGGATATTTTGTAAAAGTTTTTCATTGATAATGTTTTTTTTTTTTTAACAAAAAACTAACGGAGGGGGATGCATATGTAATTTGTACGTTTCAAATGAACTTTTTTTTAAAAAATAGTCTAGAAATAACTTGAACCTTTTAATTTATAATTTTCCTTTGGCTGTGAAGATAAGTGTGGTCATATACATATTTTAATTATGCACATTTATTTTTATGTTTATTTAATTACAAGTGCTCTTAAAATTTGTTAAACGTGTAGTTTGTGTTCATTAATTATAAAGATATACTTGTTCTGCCCCGAGTGACTTTTTTTTTCCTATTATTCCTTCATGCTCTCTGAAGTAATTCAATTTATTCTTCATTCTCTTTATAATTGCCAATTTTGTCTTCGTTTTTAAAATAACTGATTTTATTAATTCAGTGATTAATGTGTAATAACCTAATAATATTAACCATTTTCTGAGATGTGTCAAGTATTTAACTATTGTATTATTTTAAATAATAGGTATTGATGCAATATTTCAGATGCTTTAGCTCGTAACTGTAAGAAATGTTAAAAAAGAAACAAAAAAGTTTAAATCAAAAATCCGTTTTTCGAATGTTTTTTTTTCTTTTCTTTAATTAATGTTACTTTGGTATTATTTTAATGTTATTTTATACAATATTTAAATTGAAAAGTGGCGTAAACTTTTAGAGCTGTTAAACATTTTTAAACGTTATTGTTATTTTATTAGAGTAGGTTTCTTTTTTTTTTATTGTATGTTGTGGTTTTCCCTTTGGCAAACCAGTGCCTTTCTATTTTTTTTATTAATTATTTATATCATTTTTGTCTCCTTGGAATCGCAAACCACATTATTGAATAAAGCTAGGTAATACTAATTTTAGAAAAACCCAATTTCTTGCCCCGTCGAATGTAATATTTTCTAAATGAGCATTAACTCCATGCAACAAATTTTTCAATTTTTAGAAATTATCTTTATCAGGCTTATTATTAATACACAAGGGCGCCGGCAGAATAATATAAAAGGGGGTGTAACCCTCTAACAAACTACTCCCCCCCCCCTAAAAAAAATATTCTGTTACATTTTGCTTTGTTATTACATATACTTCCATCTGTTAATTTTTTTCATCTATTTTAATCGAGAAAATTCCTATGAATCCCTCGAATACATAGATTTAGTTATTCAGGCCACACCGTTTTATCCAGCTGTAGCGGGGAGACAGTCAAATTTGGCCTAACTCTTCCAGCTACTATGTGCACTATTAAACGCACCTTTAGTACAATGCGAAGCATTAAAACATGGAATCGGTTTACAATGTCTCACGAGAGATTAATTAGTTTGTACATGCTCAGTGTGCATAAGAAAAGATGACTCAGAATTCATTGAAAAAGTTATAAACAGATTTGGACAGCTGACAAGACGATTACAATTCTTGTTTGATTACACAATTTTTTAATTGTTAGGTATCAATAATTACTTAATTATTTGTTCTTGAATAAAAATATTTTTAATAAAAAAATTTTATAATCGAATTTTTTTTCTGTATCTCTTTAATTGTTTAAGAAAAGCCAGGGGGGTGCAAGTGCACCCCCTTGCACCCCGCTGCCGGCGCCCTTGTTAATACATTATACTTGTTTCACTGTAACCTTTTCAAAGTCATTGTATATTTTATAAATGTGATTTTTATTGTATGAAAAATATTTTTTAAGGCGGTTGGTAAGGTTTTTTTTTTAAAGAAAAAAGGCATGTCTATTAAGTTTTTTTTTCTTTCTTTTTTATCAAAAACTGTTCTTTGAAAGAATTTTTTGTAAAATACAGTTGTATAAAAATTTGTGAAATAAAATTTTTTCGGGAGTTTTTGCTTTTGATTTCTGTATAGTTTTTTAAAATTCGACATTATTTATTACGGTAGTCAAATAAAGTACAGTAGGGAACCGATTATCCGGAATGATCATGATCATCGCGATTCCGGGTAACTGATTTCTCCGGTTTTCTGAATCGCTACAAAGTGCCGTTTTTTTTATGTTTATAAAACGAAACTAAAAATTTATTTTGAAATAGTTTAAAAAATTATAAATAATAATACACTTAAGTTTAAATAAGGAAATAAATTATGAAATAAAAATTATATACAGGCTTATATATGTTATTAATGTTATTATTAACATCAATAACATATACATTGGGGAACCGATTTTCCGGAACGATCTGGACCATTGCTATTCCGGATAACTGATTTTTCCGGTTTTCTGAACACTGCAAAAAGCTGTTTTTTTTTATTGTTAAACCAAACTAAAAAAAATATTTGGTAATAATCTTAAAAAGAAGAAAAAACGATGAAGTAATACACTAATGATTATTTCCAAAATGATTGTATGGTCAAAAAAGAAAGAAAAGTCCTAAAATTTTATGAGGGAAAAAAATTTTTTAAAAAAATGGCGGAAAAATTCATCGAATTTTGTTCCGGTTTTTTGGTTTTCTGAATTCCGGATAACGGGTTCTGTACTAAGCTATTTGTGCTTGTGTGAGATTCGTCTACAAACGACTTTTGATCCGTCCTCTAAATCAGTTCTTTCGTCAACTCGATACGCTGTATGCTCTAAATAACAAAATGGGCTCAAAATCTTGCAGGAAAAAAATATTTTTTCAATGGAAGAAAATGAATTTCCGGTTCCGAATTTTATTCCGGTTTTCTGATTTCCGGATAAGAGGTTCTGCACTGTATACGGTAGTCAAATATATTCGAGTGACTTCATCCTCAATTTGTTTTTCAGTAATTACCGCTAGGGTTACATGTTTTTTTTTAATGTGACTATTTTCAAAATGCAGTATTGGAAAGAATTAGTGTGATTTTTCTCCCTAACAAAATGCGATAATATTGCCTATAATATTAGAATAATAAAATATTACATATTGAATGTAAATAATTATGGTTTTTTGTTAATACAGCTTTTTTTGTTAATTTAAATCTATAACGTACATCTTTGTTATTATTTAAACTGTCTTGCAGAAGGATATGAGTGCTAGAGAGTTTTGTTGCAGAAAGCCTGAAAAAATTCTGCCAAAGAGCGCATTTCAATAATATCTTTTTAACGAGGTCAATTTATGCCAATAGTTTCGTAAATCTATGTAATGTTTCGATTGTATTTTCGGCAGTTGTTGATATTGATTTTCACATGGTTTTTAATTAACCCGATATATTTCAAACAATATGCAAATTCCTGTCGTGCTTTTGAGTATTTACTTTTTAAGCAAATGATTCTATCAAACTTTTTTCAATTATTGCTATTGATATTTCTCCATAGTTTCTGAATCCGATATTTTTTATGAAATATTTATTACAAAAACCAAACACCCATTTAAGTAAACAGAACACTCATTGTGAGGAATCTGATTCACATGATTTTGTCGGCTATCTTTTTTTCGACAATTACTACTACTGATTTCAAGATTTTCAATTTTTTTTTTGTGATGATTATTTATAAAGTGTGAAGGAAATAATTTGCTTTCCCCCCCCCTCCCCCAACAAAATGCGAGACTATCACCCATAATATTAGAATAAAAAATTGTTAATTGCTCCACTTTTAAAAAATTATATAGTTTTTGTTGTTTTGTAAACACAGTGCTTTAGTAATTTTAAATTAGTTACATATATGTGTGTTGTTATTAAAAGTATCTTGTAGAATGATATTAGTGCTTGAGAGTTATGTCACAGATGGCTCGAAGAAATTCTGCCACAGGGATATTTGGTACTGTTTGTCTACGATAGGTACTCTGTCCGCCACAAAGTCTGCGGCAGTCTGGTGCTATGGAAACAAGAAGAGAGCATTTTAGGGAGGGTGGCTTCGATGAAGAGGTCTCCTTTTCTTTCGCCTTCGATGATAGCTTGTATGGGGAGTATACCAGATTGGCTGACTCAGCCACCAGTAGGAGACTTATTTAATCTGATTCAAGAACTTTTTTAAGATTCGCATGAATATTTCTTTCTTACTTAAAATAATTCTCTCGATTCAATCAGTTGTTATTTTTTAAATACAAAGGAAAAAAAGTGAACAAATTCTGACATTAAGGGTAGTACAGGTTTTTTTAATATTACTTTTTAATTTTACGATATTTATTATGAATGTTCATTGATTGTTAGATGGTTTAATTTCTAAACTTGCACATTTTTTAAAGCAGTTAATTTCTTTTATTACTTGAATTTTCTGGAAAAAGTGAAGAGCTTAAACTTAATAACTCTGATTTTAAAAGGAGATAAAACTTTTGCTGAAAATAAAAATAGTTCACGTTATCTGTGCCGGAGAAATATTAAATATCTTTGTTTTGATTATTAATTTTTAAATATTTTATTTATTTATTTATTTTTTTTTTTTTTTTTTGAAACTGAAAGCAAGTGACCGCAACTAGGATGAAATCTAAAACTATCAACGATGATTTTTATCAGCACCCATCAAACCATCTGAAATTATCTGAAGTTTTTTTTGCTTAAATTACGTTTTCTTATTCATATTTTATTGTAACCTGTACAGTTTTTTTTCACTATTTATTAAAAACAGTTTTTATTAGCAAATTTATTTTTTTCTTAATAACCAATTTACTATGTATGATAAATTTATAGATGAGTTATTTATTAATAAAACATTGAGCTGCTTTAAACAATTTTATACAATTTCCATACATATTCCATACATACATATAAATTTTTTTAATTTTTTTTCTAAAACAGAAGCTTTTGAAAAAGAGAAAAGATTAAAAAAAAGGAATCACACGCTCTAAACGATGTTTCAGGCGCGAATGCTCATTTCTCTTAACTCTAGGGCTAATACAATAGATCGAAGAAAGAAGTCTCCTTTTCTCCCACCGAAACCAGTCTTAAAGAGGGACCCCGCACCCCTACTTGAAATAATCATACCTCGTTACCATAGTCCCCGCCACCCCTCCAGACGAATGGCGGACAGAGTACCTATCGTAGACAAACAGTAACTTATCATTTGTTTAGTTGCAATCTAATTATTTATTTTGAGAGTTTTAAATTGCTGCACAAATATTTTTGCTTTTTAACAATAAACAGTTTGTTACATCAAATTGAAAAGTTACTCTATTAAAAGATCCCATAATTTTTTTACTTAACGCAGTAAGATTGCGAGTGAACTGCAGAGATGAAAGTTTCTAGTATTTAAGTGTTAAAATTTCAAACAATTTATAATTGTATATTCTAGCTTAAATAATTGTATTATATCCAGATGAAAGTCAGCTCATTCTAGGCAGGGCGCAGCACCCTGCTGCCCTTTTAGTCATAAGAATTCACCCTGTTGCCCCTGAAGTAAATTAGCGCCCTGATGTAATAGACTCCATACCCTTTTTGCCCTTTCTTTCCTCAACCCTTCTTTACTTTTTCCCCAAACTCTACAATGGATTTCTTAAACTGTTATTTTTAACTCTTTTTATTTAGTTTGTCATTGCTGTCAATACATAGATTTATATGGGAAAGGAAAAATAGCCATCACAACCCATTGTTGCACTTGTCTTTGAAAGTTTGCAGTTACTTCCACTATCATTAAATCATAATTATTATTAATCATTTTAATTATTTAATCATAACTACAGACACTTAAAAACATACTTTTATTATTTTATTAATATATGCATGCATTTTAAATAAATTACTAAGCTAATTAGCTCATTAACTCGACATATATGTTAATTTATTAAGGAAAATAAGTAATTAATGATTGCTTTGCTATTTATTGTTAAGTTAAAAAAAAATTCTGTTACTAATTGACAATGTTTTTTAATAGAACGAGTAAAGAATTCGTGTTTTTAATAGAATGTGAAATTATTGCCTTTTTAGAGTAATAATGCCCTTTCTTTAAACTTTTGCACCATGCCCTTTTTTCTGCCTAGAATGAGCTCTGAGTAAGTGAATATAAAAAAGTAAAAATTCGAAAGAAAATAATAAATAAACTTAATTTATTAAGAGATTAAAACAGCTGCTGTTTCTTTCAATTGTTTACATAAATAAGAGTAGTAAAACTTTATTCCATAGTTATGTAAAGAACTTTTAGAATATCGTAATCAAGTTTAATATCAGTGTATTATCAGGGTGGCCACCCACCTGGAAAACCTTGAATTATCAGGGAATTTTTTTTGTGCTGGAAAAAACCTGGACAAATCAGGGAATTTTAAAAAAAAGCTGAAAATTTTTTTAAAAATTATTTTACTATCCTTTATACCCACTTTATTTAGACGGAAATTTATCGTCAAACAATTTAAATATTATCAACTTAACAATAGTACTTTGTTTTTATTAAAATTCTCTCCATTATCACTCTGCTAAACTAGAGTGCCATATGAAACTCTCCCGTGGTTGCTAAATGAATGGAGAAATCCTTCACCTCTTTGGAGATTATGGAACTATGCAGTTTAGGAAAGGTAAAGATTGTAGGGGAGGTTGAGGAAAGGGTTTGGATATTTGGTTCTATTAATAAAAAAAATTTTTTTCATCTTCATCTAGTCCGTAGACCTTTATCGTTCAAGTTTGTTCAGATGCTTTGAGGGCAATTTTTCTTTTAACGAAATTTTTTTGTATTTTTAACTTTATAAAATTTTCCAAAGAATAATTGGTTATAATTTAATAATAGACTTCATCGCGTAATTTTTTCTTAAAGCTTTTGTATTATTTTTTGTTCGTTTATTTGTTTATTATATTTATTTTGTTTTGTTTATTATATTTTTTGTTATTTGTTTTGTTATTTTGTTTGTTTATTATATTTATTTATAATTATTACACTTATAATTTTAAAACAATTTTCATCTCTTAATTTTTTTTCTCCACTTGTATTAAGAATACAAATAATGTATATCTTGAAAGTAAGAAGTAATTATTCAACAGCCTGAATATTTAGATATTCAACAAAACTATATAGTATTCAGCAAAATGAAATCGGTTCCCTACTGTATTTGGATAAACTAAATTTTCAGCATAGTAAATGAATAGGCTGAATATACTGTAAATAGACACTAACTACTCTGTGTATTTAACAGAAAGCACTTAAACTTGTATTGTCTTATGTTAATTATGAATTTAAAAAAAATTAAGATTTAAAATTCAGAATTACTGATTTTTCTGAAAAACTACCAACCAATCACTAAAGTCAAAATAAACAGAAGAACATTACAGTCACTAATCCATGAAATATGTAAACAAATTATTATGGAAATTTTTTTAATTACTCTAATTAAATACATAATTTTAAAAATTAGAACATGCATCACACTACATAATCAAAATGAAAATGATGGAAGTAGAAATTTAATTCAAAATTCAATAGTCTAGTTCATTTGCTCCTCGCAGCATACGGTAGCACATAACTAGTTTTGAACATTTTTCCACCACCAAACAAAGTATGTTGAAAGCAGTTCACTAATCCCCCTCCCCCCAGTTTACTTTAGAAGAGCTAAAAATAGACAAAAATTCCCTGATTGTGAATGTTGCATGTGCCCAACCTGTTTAAAAGATTTTTCTTTAAAAGATGTCTAATGTACAAAACTGCTAATGTTTATCTTTAAAAATGTCTAATTTTTAGTATAATCTATATTATACACTAAATTTGGTTTTAAATAAATTTCTTAATAATATCACTGCAGATTTTCAATAACACATGAAAATGAATACATAATATTACAAAAGATGTGAGCTTTCAAAAGTACAAGATTTTGGTTACTATTCAAAATATAAGTGTTTCTTCAAAATTTTAAATTTATTTTTTCTAGAACATATTTAGAAACACTATCCTTTATAAAAAATATATAAATTTTATGTATTAATTAAATTTCACATATGAATATAGGTTTTTGACATTTTCGACAGTGAGGTTTTTGCCGTGACGGTTTAAACCGTCTAGTTTTATAAAATAGACAAATACATCGATTATAATATTTTGTAAATAATTTAAATATAAAAATTCATTGGAATTTGAAATCATGATAAAATACTAAATAATGTGAAATAAAAGTTAACTTATTATCCATTATAAATTTTTTTAATAAAACTTAACATGATTGATTATTTTAATGACCACAGCAAAACTAAAACTAGATGCATAGTTTAATAAGCAATTTAAAAAACTATTAAGAAAATTGTTTAATAGTGTCTATGTAATTAGTTGGATAGCAAAAAGCTTACTTTATTTTAACAAAAAAAAAAAAAACGTAACTAATAAATAAAACCGAAAACATAATTTACATCTTGGATCCCAGTATGATTTGATTTCTAGACAAAGGAAGAATTAAGAGCCTTTATTAATACCAGTAAGAAAAGATGATACTACAAAATATTTAAGCTATTTTTTTTTTCATTTCATGATTAAATTATTATTTTCTTGTGTAAGTTTTCTTTTTAACTATAATTGTTTTCTTTTGAATTAAAATTTAAACCATAAAAATCCCAACAGTTTTTTTTTAAACCTGTTATCTTTCCTCTAGGCATGCAATTGCAAAAAATATTTTTGAAGCCCTCTTTACTCAAAGTTCATTTTTCAGTTTTGTATGACTAAGGCCAAAATTCGAAACCATCTTTTAATTGATGCTGAACTGCATAGACTAGAATGAAGAAATACTAAAACTATTATAACATAATAAAATATTACGTATTTAGGATACAGATTCTAATGATTTTACTAAATATTGATAGTAAACCCTTGAATTGACTGAAAAAATTATTCCAATTTAAGAAACATTTATATTTTTTGTAAATTATAATTAGTTTACTTATCAGGGAATTTATCATAGTTATGATTTATTGGAAATATTCACGAATATATGCGTACCTGCCCACATTGCAAAATATATCGCATATGTGATCATTTGAAAAGCATAATCGTCACAAATCGAGGGCATCAAAAAGTAATTCTACAAATGCGAGATTGATTATTTCCTGTCTATGATATTGTACCATTAAAAAACTATAAAAATCTGTAGGAATAACTGACAAAGATACGTTTGAAAATCCACATGGAATTGCCATTAATTGAGTATGAAATGTGCAATTCGAAGTTTGCCGAGCAAAACAATCTCCAAAGCCATCTTCAATGGAATTTGCAGTATATTATGATGGCATATTAAAGTATTGCAATTTTAAAAACTATGTAGAAATTTGTTGCGAAAATAGCGCAACCACATAAATTTTTTTCTTTGCTGATTGGAATTAATGTTAATTATCTCCTTTCTTTTATTTTTTATTGAATGAGGATGCTTGTTTACCTTAAAGACCTATTAATCGGAAAAATCTAGTCTCGGGACTTGCTGAAGATCCAACAATTCCGGATGTGGGACTTTCCATTGTATTATGTAATAACTAAAGCCCGGAATTTCAGGCAATAAAAAATGCAAAAATAGGTAGGCAAAAAGGCATTTAAAAAGCTTGAAATAGGCACTTAAAATTGGAGCAAAATGGTAGTTGGTAATGCCTAAAAGCCCATATGGGTATCCAAGGTATAAAAAAAGTTGCTAGAAGTATCCGGTATACCTACATATTCATCTTACTCGACTGTCGTAGCAATAGTACAAAAGAAGTGGATATAATTGCACAAAAAAACCCTAAACTGCGTAAGTGTGAAATAAAAATTGAAAACTCATACTTACAATAATATTGTATGCAGATTTATTCTGATAATTGGTTGCTGTTGCACAACTAGATGCTTTTTCAAATTTTCAAAAGATAAATTTTGTCTCCTGTCAGTCAATATAGTTTTAAACAAAGAGAAGGATCTTTCTACTTCAACAGAGGTTATGGGTGCGTACCTAAAACAACTTGCCATGGTAAGAGATATGGTAAGTTCTACTGTAGTATCACCGCAAAGTACTTTTGCAATGTCCTTGATGCATTCAAAGTCTGTATTTGCAGAAATGACGTTTTCACATTTCTTCCTTATTCTGTCACCAGCTGGTCCAGGCACAGACATTAGTTCTTCAATAGTACTGTCGAAAATCTTTAGTGACTCGGACAAAGACATATTTCTTTTTTCCATGTGTTCAATAGCTCCAGGGAGCTTCCCAAAATAAGTTGAAATAAAAGTCAGTTCAGTTTTTATTTTAGAACTGCTAAGAAGACTTTTACTTATGAATATTGCCTTTTCATTCGAAAAGCTGGTAAGGACTCGAGTAACTTCCTCAAAATTTGTGCAGTATTATGAGACTACTGAAATCCATGTTCCCCATCACGTAAGGATTGGTTTGGGAGGTAATTGAATGCCTGGTGTAATTTCTTTGAACACCTGAACTCTAAGGGGCTTTCACAAATACTTTTTTCACACTAGAAACAAGCCAGTCTACCCCAGGATAGAGACCTCTTACTTCCTCTGCTATCCTGTGCAATGCATGAGCAAGGCACGTTAGATGGATCATATTAGGAAATAAAACTTTTAAGCCATTTCCAGCTTATTTCATGTAGGTGGCTGCATCTGTAAAAAATAATAGCACTCTTTCATGCTTAGTACTATTTGGCCAAAGTAAAGCCAATGCATTAGTGAACAACTGTGCAATTGTAGTACTGTTAGTCTTTGGCAACTGTTCAGATGTCAACAAAAAGATTTTATGTTTTTCAAATGGGTCCATAACACTAACAATAACATTCGCAACATATCGTCCAGTTACATCTGTCGTTTCATCTATAGATAGCCATATGTTTTTCGTTCCGATTTCATTTTGAATAGTTTTAAGAATTTCGGTGTAACAGTCATCTAAATAAGTTTTCCTTAAAGTTGATTCACAGGGCACACTTTGATTCGTATATTTTTGCAAAAAAGCTTGTATGCTTTTATTTTCAAGTTTCCACAACGGAATGCCAGCATCTACAAATGATCTGCATAAATCCATTGCAAATTCAGATTCGCGAGAAGATAATTGATAACAGGTGGGAATCGGGGTCGTTGTTTTCCTATCTTTTTTATCCTTTGCTGTTTTATGCTTAGATGTCTCCTAGTGCTGAGATATAAAATACTTCTTCTCAAAATTTACTGACTTCTCGCATGCCTTACAAAACAGAATGCTCCCATCAGTAGAAAACACATCCGACCCTAACTCTTTCACAAAACTGTCCAGTTTTTTGCTTGTGCAGGCTTTTACTTTAGGCATGTTTGAAATAACTAGTACTAGAAAACAATTTCGTGCTCCTGCTACAATGTGCTCAACCAGTTTGGTGAATTCGTTTTGTAGATAAGAGAGCATACGAGTTATTCGATGGTGTAGGCTATATAGGCCGTAAGTAAGAATAAATTCTATTGGTTGTAAGTAAAAATAACTCCAATCTTCTCACTCCCTTTCTCTCTCCTTGCAAAGCACATCGGGCGAAGGTGACGCCACGAAGAGATGGAGAGGAAATATTAATAAGACAAAAGGAATAAAGTCCTAATCTCTATAAATGCATTACAATACATCGGATGACAGTCAACCATTTCTGTACTTCAAAATTTCTTCATTTTGCGTTTATGCTCGGTCAAAAGCACAAAAAGCTTTGCAGAAAAATTTTAAATTAGACAGAAATAGGCATTTATGAACAAAAGGAAAGAAAAAGGCATTTTCAGAAGAAAACGTTTAAAAAGGCTGAAAAGGGCATTTATGTCATTTTGCCTGAACTTCTGGACTCTAGTAATAACCGAATTCCATCCTCTATTTTTAAATTACCCTCTTATACTATTTTATGTGTACATTTCTATGAATAATTCTCTTTCATTATCAAAAAACCAAAAAAATATGAAACTTTTGAAAAATAACTAAAGACAAACTAAGAGACAGCCTTTGTGTATAAATTTTCTTTAAAAAAAAAAAAGAAAAAAAAGGGCGATACCATGCACTTGTAGCCAGGTATGCTTAAATTTTCCCCCCATTAAATTCAATAAACTAAATACCAAATTAAAGGTTATTTAATTTATTTTATGAATAGGCATTCAATTATTTTAAAAAAAGTTATACACTTTCCTTAAATTGAATAAAATGTAAAAAGTTGCAGACATGACAAGGAGAATTCTTTTTTTTTGTTGCTATTGCAGCATTTAATATTTATAATTAAACATGATATTTTACGATATATTGTATTTACATAATTAATGAATGGAAAAACGTCATTTTCATGTTTTAAAAATGGGGTGCTTATAAAAGAACATGTTTACTTTTTAATGACCTTTTTTCAAATTTTATTAAAATAAAGCAATTATGTACAAGATCTATTTTCTTGAAAATTGGATTTCTTTCAACTATTTGCAGTGATGTATTATTATGATTTTCAAACAATTATTTTTTTAAAAATATTTTTTAAAGAATTTGTAAATAGGTATTGGTCATGTCCGCAATGTTATAGACATGACAAGCTGCAAAATATAATTTCATTAACTTTTAATAAACATTAGAGCTTGATAAAAAGTCTCTTTCAATAAATTTGTATCACAAACCATCAAACTTATAAAATTTGCACTGTTGTCATTTTCGTAATGACTAATAACATAGACAAATTGTACTTAGTTTAAACATGTTTAAATTCCTCCACTTAAAGAAAATATATGTATTTAAAAATTAAAACAACAATTGCATTAATGGCAACATGTGTATTTCGTCTAAATTATGTTGAGAATAATAGCAACAAAAGATTTAATAGAAGATTAATTAGAGTAGAACATCGTTTAGAATAGAACAGTTTTAAAATTATTTAGGTAATGTGCGTGTTTATTTCCTGATGTTTTTCTATTAAATTGAATTTTTATTTAGAGTTTCGAAAAGATTCAATTTCTGACATTATATAATTAATTCAAGCTAATAAAACACCAGCAGACCATCTTTGGAAAAAAGTGGCAATTAAAACTAATAATGTTTTGCTAAAATCTCCTCGGAAGAAACTTGATGATTTAACATATATATCAAAAATGCCTTCATTAAAAAGAAAGCAGATAATTAAAAATTCCATTAAAAGGAAAAGGCAACAGGTGCATATTTAAAGAACAGATCATGGGTGCAAGTTGGAAAAAAGGCCAAGACTGAAAATTTTTTGACTAAAATACCTAGCATACACAATACCCCCTCGACATAAGCAAACTATCTAAGAAAGCTTTACCATAATACATCAAGTTTAAATACTGCACAAAAAATATTTATTCATCTGTCTTTTGATAAAATAACAACAGGACATAAGAAAGTAGACCAATAACGTAGACCTAAAAAATATTTTTAAGGGCAGAAGAAAAAAAAATTCCGATTTCCGTCTTCGAGTCAGTCTTGTTACCGTCTTACTTCCGTCTGCGGACATTTTCGAAAGACGGAAATCCGTCCTGGGGACGGAAGACTTGCACCCATGGAACAGATTCTAGAACTAGTAGTTGAAAAACCAGGAATGATAAATTAGCAGAGGAAACTGAAATAAAAGTAAAACAATTTTTCATTAGGGATAATATTAGCCGTATGATCCCAAGAAAGAAGTGATATCTATAAAAACACCTACTGAAAGAGAAAGACATCAAAAGTGCTTAGTGATAAGCATTGGAAAAGCATATGAGTCTTTGAGAAAATTTTGATTTCCATATTAGGAAAACTAAATTTTTTTGAGCTTCTTCCTAAATATGTTCTTCCATGTGGAAAGAAAGACCAAGAAGTCTGTTCATATACTACGAAAAATTAGCCTTGATTCTTTCAGAAACCTGAGCTATCTGTCCTGATCTTCAAAACATTCTAAAACAACTGCGAAAGAAAGTATTCATAACTTCTAGTAAAAAGCATGTCTACTGCATACCAAGAATGCAGAGTAAAAAAATACTTAGAATCAAAAATGTCAGAGCAAAATTAAGACAGGTCAAATATTATCAATGGCAACAGAATGAACAAGGTTTCACTGTCAAAAAAAATCGTTACAGATTTGGGCCGTGCAAAGGTCTGGTGGAGCTGCCAGTCAATTCAAAAATAGGTTTATATTCGCAAATTTAGTTTTTCACAATGAAGAATTCATCAATAATGCTGACTCTGAAACAGCTCACAGAAAAGGAGCCGTTGATAGAATAAGAGGCATCATAGAAAACGTAGCTTAGAGAGCTGCATTGCAAGGAAGAGAAGTTGTTGTCGATGCAATTTTTTTTATCAAGTGGCTCACAATATTTCAGCAGGAACTATAAAAATAATGCTTGTAAGCAAAAGTCACTGTCCAACATGAGGCAACGAAGTTGAATGAACTATATAGTCTCTGCAAATCTAACCTAAATACAAGGTTATTACATTTCCTCTTGCCTATAACATTTAATTCAGTTCAATTTTTTTTTTTTATATACTCCTTTCTCTAGTCCCCAAATCATGCACCAAGCTGAATTATTTTCTAAACTGCTTTCAAAACTTGCTTTAGATTCAAAACAACAAACTTCAACACTAGCAACATTTTTAGATAGTGGATAGCTGTATTGTTTGATGAATATTGGTGGCTTGGCCAAATAACTTCAACAACCAAGACAGATATGACACTGTAAAATAATTTCAAATTCGTAGCTCTAAGCAAGTTTAAGCTTTTGGAAGAACCGCTATTTGAAGTAATGATAACTGACTTATACTTACGTAATTTGTCACTAAATCACTCTGTACAGTTTATTCATACAATTCTGAATTTGCTTTAAAGAAAAATTATATAATAAATAAATTATAATGTAATTTCTTAAACATTTGCCTGGAATCTAAAATAAAACTAATTTACAATAATTAATTTTATTAAAGAAATTTGTAATATCTTAATGATATACGACCATCTAAGGTTATTTATAATGAGAAATCTTGTCATGTCTGCAACGCGTATGTTATTTTTAATTTAGTAATTTTCAATTAAACTAATTTTATTTCTTCAAAAGTCTTGTGATTTCTTTTATAGAAATATACACTGAAATCATACCTATAAAAAGTTTCAATCTATTTTATAAAATTCATAGACTTTGGAGTAGAAAAATTTTCTGAAAGCCATATTTCTCTGTGTCTTGTCCGCAACACTTCAAATTTTTATTTTAAAGGTCTTTAAATTCATTTTAATTTTTAAATATGCATTTGGTTAAAAGAAGACAGGCCTCTAATTTTATAATGTAAAAAACTAGTAACCTAACTAAATTTTTATTTAATAATGAGCAATTAAAACTTTGTAAATGTCATGCCCGAAACATGCACAATACTGTAAAATTTGAAATTGCCCAAAATGATTATTAATTGATTAACAACTTTACAGCTTTTTTTATATATAAAAAAAGTTTACTTAACATTACGGCCTAAGAGTTTAAAATCTCTTAGAGACACCATAAGAAAAATTAAAGATAAAGGAATGAAATTAAAAATTAAAGTTAAATAATTAACAATAACTAAATAAATCAGAAGTGGACTTTTCATTAAAACAGGGAGTTAAGAAAACAACCTTTTCCTTTAAAAAAAAAAAAAGAAAAAAAAAAAGCGTTTTTGAGCAGGGTTCGCCAAGTGGGCCCACCTTGAAAAAACCCACTAGGAACGTTAAGTGGGTTTTTTCAAAAAAAATTTTTTTTTTTTATTCAAACTTATTGATAAACATTTAATTTTATATAATTTATTGTGAAGTAAAAATTTGTCAAATAGAGTTGCATGATTTATATAATTAAGTTTTTAATATTTGCAAAGTAAAAGAAACTCTAGCCTATAATTTCATAATACTATTGAAAACTTGAAGTGGGTTTTTTTCAAAAAGTAATATTTTAATGAAATTAAATCAGATAGAAATTCAAATAATATAGTCTGTAAAGATCAATTTTTCAAATGTAGTTGCATGCTTTATACGATTAATAAACAGGTTTATAATAAAGGAAGTTGAAGATATCATTTTCCACCCAATATAGCACTAAACAGGTTTTTTCAAGGACTATTTTTAATGAAAAAATATTTTAACACTTTAAATAATTTAAGATGTAGGCATACATTTTAAAAATACAGTTGCATTGTTATACATGCATTACAAATTTAAACAGAAAACAAATTTTTATAGATATGAAGAGATACTGAAATCTTATGACTTTTTTATATAATTGCTTTTTTTTTCTTGCTTAAACTTAAACCAGACTAAGATTAGAACTTAAAATTAACTTCATTGAATATGAATAATTTTTTTCTCGCTATTTTCTACCAATGGATATAATTTTTAATTCATATAAGCATTTTTAGTAAAAATATTTTTTTAAGTATAAAAATATCTATTGTATAAGTAAAAGGACTGTCACTGACACACCCCTAAAAAGAAAAGTAACAAAATAAAGCAAAACAAAAATAGTATGAAAATATTTCTAGAAAGGGGGTTCCCCCTTGCTTTACTTAAATCAAGTATGGTCATGTCTAGGCAGTTAAAGTATAGTTTTGGTTTTGATGCTGACATAGTGGTCTGCTAACAGTCCAAATCAAAATATCTGATATTAGTGAGTCTTCTTTTAAAGTGAATTTGAATATAGTTTAGGATTGATTTTAAAACTTTTTATTTTTAAAAAATGCCGAAAGTAATAGGAAGTGGAAGAAAATCTGCATGTGAATGGAATGAGATAATAAAAATTGATGGAGATTCAAAATGTCAATGCAAACATTGTAAATCATTTTTGAGCTGTAAAATTGAAAGAATCAAAGCTCATTTGCTAAAATGTACAGCTAGAAAAGCTAAGCAAGGAGAAAATGATGAATCCAACCAATTTGAAATTGCTTTAATGCAAGATTCCTTAACAAGTAGTGAAATTTCTTCAGTAACTAGCTCAGTACCAAGCACTTCTTCTTGCAGTATCTACCAAAGTGATATTTCTGATTTTCTTTGCCGAACAACAGCTGTGCAAAAGAAAGAACTGGACAAAGCAGTATCAACTTTTTTTTTATGCAGGAAATATACCTTTCAATGTTGTTGAACTTGATTATTTTAAGCAAATGAT